GTGTCCTGGCAATGGTCAGTGGTCAGTGGAGCTGCTGCTGAGCACCGGCCAGGTGGACGTCAATGCACAGGTGAGGGTCAGCGTGTCCTGAGTGTCCTGAGAGTGGTCAGTGCGGTCAGTGTGTCCTGGGTGTCCTGGGTGTGGTCAGTGGTCAGTGGAGCTGCTGCTGAGCACCGGCCAGGTGGACGTCAATGCACAGGTAAAGGGATGGTCACTGTGGTCAGTGTGGTCAGTGTGTCCTGGGGATGGTCAGTGGTCAGTGGAGCTGCTGCTGAGCACCGGCCAGGTGGACGTGAATGCACAGGTAAAGGTGTGGTCAGTGTGGGCAGTGTGTCCTGAGTGTCCTGGCAATGGTCGGTGTGTCCTGGCAATGGTCGGTGTGTCCTGGGAGTGGTCAGTGTGGTCAGTGTGTCCTGAGAGTGGTCAGTGTGTCCTGAGTGTCCTGGGGATGGTCAGTGGTCAGTGGAGCTGCTGCTGAGCACCGGCCAGGTGGACGTCAATGCACAGGTAAAGGGATGGTCACTGTGGTCAGTGTGTCCTGGGTGTGGTCAGTGTGGTCAGTGTGTCCTGGCAATGGTCAGTGTGTCCTGAGTGTGTCCTGAATGTCCTGGCAATGGTCAGTGGTCAGTGGAGCTGCTGCTGAGCACCGGCCAGGTGGACGTGAACGCACAGGTAAAGGTGTGGGCAGTGTGGTCAGTGTGTCCTGAGTGTCCTGGGAGAGGTCAGTGTGTCCTGAGTGTCCTGAGTGTGGTCAGTGTGTCCTGGGAACGGTCAGTGTGTCCTGGGGATGGTCAGTGGAGCTGCTGCTGAGCACCGGCCAGGTGGACATCAATGTGCAGGTAAAGGGGTGGTCAGTGTGTCCTGAGTGTCCTGGGGATGGTCAGTGTGTCCTGGCAGTGGTCAGTGCGTCAGGGGATGGTCAGGGATGGTCACTGACCCTGAGTGACCCCTCTGTGACCCCCCAGGACAGCGGGGGCTGGACCCCCATCATCTGGGGATGGGTTGGGCTGGTCAGTGGCTGGTCAGTGATGGTCAGTGATGGTCAGTGAGTGGTCACTCTTGCCCCCCAGGACAGCGGGGGCTGGACCCCCATCATCTGGGGATGGGTTGGGGTGGTCAGTGGCTGGTCAGAGGGTGGTCAGTGATGGTCAGTGCTGGTCAGTGATGGTCAGAGGATGGTCAGTGATGGTCAGTGATGGTCAGTG